CTAGATGATCTTTTGAGGTCTCTTCCAATCCGTGACCTTCTGTGATTCTGTGAAGGATATGGGGTAATTACAGAGAACCTTGGGGGAAGCAGTGGTAACAGTGAGAGGTGGAAAGGCTAAATGAACAAAAGTGTCTACTAGTGTACAATAATATCAAAATATATTACTTCTGAAGCTGGGCTTTTGTAAGCAATACCATTCACTTCAGATTGACCTTGCCATGCAGTGCAGTGTAAAAGCTCACAAGGTGCTGCAGGGAGTGGTGGTGTGAGGTGAAGGAGAGATTTCTCCACTCAAAGGTTTTCACTTTACTTTCTCCTTTTGCAGAGAAAATGGCCATGGCTACAAGGCAAAGGTAATCAATGGTAAGTAGTGAGTTCCCTGAGGGAATAGAAGAAAGATGACAAAACTTAACACTTTGCTGAAGCACCTGAGTAACAAACATCTCCACAAGCTCAAGCAAATACTGTTGATGTGACTCGGGCTTGCCCAGCTCCATGTGCTGTGCAGGAAAGCAATCAGTGGTTCCAATTCTCTGATTCCCTTTTTCCAGCCTTGCCTTAGGATTAGAGGTAGTCATAGTGGTGGGACAGCCCTGGACAGGCCAGGTGTATATATATCACCTAGTGAGTAGGAAGGCAGGGGTACAGATCCCAGCTGCTTGGGTGCAAGGGCGCCCATCTCCTCTGCTCACCCTCATCCCTTGAAGTGTGGATGTGCCTGCGTTTCACCTGTTTCCTTTTGCAGGCACCCTCAGAACTAACCATCTGGCACCAATAAAAGCCCTAGGAACAACAGAATTAATCACAGAGAAAACAGAGCAATAAATATAAATGTGCTTCACCTCACTGCAATATAAAGGAACAGTTTTTGGGGGAGGGATGGGGAGATCTGCTGCTATAATGCATCACTGTTCTTCAGACAGAGGTTTCTTCACAAAACAACCTGAATTTATCCTTCATTGTTAAAACATTCTGCTGGTGCCCTTAGCCATTGCAAGAAAAGGTTTCAATTCCAGAGCATTGGCTGTATTCCTACCAGATATTATCTTTGTGGTCAAGATTTGTTACAAATTGAATAATTTTGGCTTTAATTTCTAAGAGATATTCATTTTGAAGTCTGAATTATTTTACTGGTATCAAGAGCTGGAGGATATGGCATGTGATTAAGCCAGTGTTGCCTTCCCCTGTTCACTAATCATTACTTTTGTGATTTTGTTTTTTCTCTTTGAATATCTAGCACCTGGAGACATGGCATTGCCTAGTAAATATGTTTTAAAAGAAAAGAAAAATAGAAAAGATAAGGAATAACAAGTTTGTCACAGAAAAGAACCCGAAGAGCATTCCTTATCAGAAAGAATAAAAGTAACTCATTGTTGCATGCCTTTGCATTTAAGATATTTTTGTATTGTTTATGAGTTAATTGTCATTATTTATGAGTTAATTGTATGAATTTTTTACTTTGGTTGTCTGGGTTCTGGTTTCTAAACAACTGTGTTCAGCAGAGCTGTGATCTTTTCTTCAAAAGGAAAAAAAAGTTCCACTCCCAGATTATTGGAAAAAAGAACCCTGTCTCTTGTTTATTTATTTATTTAGAAAGCACATACAGCGATGCATGGGGAGGGGAAGAGAGATGCAAAACAGGTGAGCATACAAATCCATCTCAAAAGAAATAGTGAGACACTTCCCAGATGATTAGTAGTACATCAGTCTATGTGAGCATTTGAACTGTTGTACCTCTAGATTAAAAAAAGAAACCACGGAGAATTTCTGAAGAACAAGGTAAATGTCTCTATTTCAGAAATCCCACAACAATCATCTTGTAGGCAGCAATGTTTTTGTTTTGCTTTTTGCTCCTCGTGTTTCCTCAAAGGGGTCTCTCTTGCTCACGCTATGGTTTCTTTCCTCAGTGTCCGCCTCTGATGACAAGTAAGGATACTTGTGAATGAAGATTTCCCCTTCGTTCTTGACCTTTTCTTTAACTTCTTCTGGTGCTTGAGTGAAATTCCAAGCTCCTCCATTATCGCATTGAAAGAAAGACACTGGTGGAAGATAGAAATGGAATTAAACACTTCTCATTGAAGGCAGAGTTTGACCATACGCTTTGCACAAATGATGGCTTTCAGAAGTCAGGACTAGAGCTCTTACTGGTGGGCTCGGAAAGCTTCTCAGCTGAGTTCTGCCAGCTTTGAATAAGCCCCTAAAGTATAATAGGTGAACCTGTATAAGTAATGTTTTTTTGCCTAACTTGGCTTCCACTGAAATGAATTTAACTATGGCTTAACTAAAGCTGATTATGAATGTTTCTGAAATTCTACACAGATGCATTTGTGATGTTTTGATGGCTTTCTATCATAAAACTTACCCCTTTTCAGGAGGTAAATTTCCTCCTGACCTTAAAAGAAAAAAGATCTTATTTTCTAAATCACAGGTTCCTTAGCCACAAAGCAATTGGGAATAGTAGAGAAAACAACATAATTTCTGAAGATTTCTTTGTGGCTTAGTTATTTCCCCCTCATGAAATTAACAGACATTTCTAAAATATAGCACAGTCCTCAATCCTCTTCTTTCTTTGGAATTAATCTTTTTCAAATATTGTGCGTTGAAGAAAGGAGAAAATTACCACAAGAATAAGGTAGCTGAAGGGTTTAGAAAGAAAGAAGAATTCTTTTTTTCTTCCCACCATCACAACAGTAACAAAGATGTTTCAGGTAAGTGGAAACATCCTTTAAAATCTACAGCTGGAATAATTACATGTAATACAAAAAAACACAAAGAGGCTTTAAGTGGAAGTATCTATCAGTGCAAAAAAATTGTTCCATGCAAATACACATGATAGATTATTTATATATACAATGAAGTGATGGTAGCAGTGTGAAAAAAGCTTTAACCACCTTACCCTCATCAAATTGAATAAATCCTTTCTACCAAACCCCATCTAGAACTGCAGAACTAACCAGCTTTAAAACAACTGGTTAAAACTACAGTTCTTGTAAAATGACAGCAACTGCCCACAGACATGGTTCTCTGTATCAAATACAAATTCCCTTCTAGAGCGATACCAATGCAGGGGAAGCAGTGTTCAGTTCTTAACCAGTAATCATCCAATAGTGACCTCAGTTATACAGGGCTAAAAAAAGTAAAAACAGATATATTATTTATATTATTTTAAAAGGAGAAAACTCATTCTTTTCTAGTAGCCAGGTATTCTAGATGAATATTTTCAAATTCAAAAGACAGTATGAGGGTAACCTGGATCAAGGTTAAATCATTTCTTTAAGGCAGCAAAGGAATCCCAGGGAAGTGAATCCCACACACTGTGCTTCTTCCTCTCCAGCATAACCCCCACTTTTAACACGTGTAACCCTGGTTCTGCAAACGAGCTCAAGACATCAGTGCATTAGAGCGTGCGTGTATTTTAAATGTGGATGATCTTGCGTATGTCACCATGTCCATTTGTGGGATGGACTGCACACAGACTAAGATCCCATAGTATCACAGAATCACAGAATATTAGGGATTGGAAGAGACCTCAAAAGATCATCTAGTCCAATCAAATCTATAGTTTGATATGCTCTTTCTTTCGGATGTTTATTTTTTATTAATCTACAATTGTTAAGTATACATAAATTGAACTACTATTAACTCGTGCCAGCCCCAAAATGTAACAGATATAGGCCAGGGCAGTGTACTGCTTTTTCTTCAAATTACTGTCTGGTAATAGCCAGGAATTTGCTGATGCAATTATCATTTAAATATCCCCTTTGACAATGTAATATAGGAATTCCAGAGTTACTAGAGTTAGAGTCAAAGGTGTTTGCTGCAGCCCCATGCCCTCTGGAAGCCGCGGGTGAAGCAGATATCATCCTAATACAGACATTATTTCTATGTTGCTTCAGGCTTTTTTAGAGAGCAGCACCACTTGTTTCCAAACCAATAAAACTGTATGCTCTAAGTGGCTAATTTAGCATGGATAATTTCTCTCTACTATCTTAAGTTTTAATTGAGTTTTCAAGATCTAGATTACAAACTGATTCCAGAACTCCCTGGCAAATAAGGAAAGGATCACATTAACTGTTTGTAGGATTGATCACATTTATTTTTATTTTCTTTCC